AAAAATAAAAAAAAAAAAAAAAAAAAAAAAAAGTTAAGTAGAGAAGTGTTACTAAAAAATAATTTGAAGGCAGCATAATTGGTACCTTTTTTACGGGATATGCCGGTAGGGGACTGAGGAAATTGGATGGCGTGGGATAATCTGTCATTGCTGCATAAATCCACGCCGTCCGAAGCCAACCTATCAAAGAACCTTCCCCAAAATCGTCATTCCTGAAAAACATTAGTTATTAATTACACTATAGTCATCTGAATTAATTCATCGTTCAATTAAATCCTTTTGCATTAATCTGCTCTCACTTGCATACTCTGAATGCTTTCCGTAGCAGTTTCAGTCCTCCGGGTTTCATAGCCGTGTCGCCTATTAACTTCCAAGACCCCTTTAACACTTTGTAACAATTCTCACTCTCCTTCTGTGGGACATGAAGCCAAACTTTTTTTATTTAAATACCATCATTCTAATTAAACACACTTTTTTCTTTCATTAATCGAAAATCACTAAATTTGGTAATGGTAGGTGTTACATCCAATTTAAAATTTAATGAATTTTTCTTATAGTTTTGATGAAATTTGGCCACATGCGCATGTTTGTTAAATGGTAATTATTAAGAGAAACAAACCCGGAAGTCTTGTGTGACGATGGTTAAGAAGATATCTGGCGAAACCAAATTCATGAAATGGAGAATTGGAGCAGAGGATGCTAGAGCTCCAATTGCAACGTGTGGATACTTCAGCCTGAACCACGCCGCCAACACTGCAAAGCATCATTTTAGACCCATCTCAGTTTGGGGGAGGATTTAACTATTGAAAATACAAAGTGGTCATGAGATTGGTTTATGTTTATATATACTTCCTCCATAGGATCCTCCAAACACTACAACGGGGGAATCAGTTGCTGACAAATTCTTCTTCAGATCAATGATGAGAGTGGCATAATCAGCTAATGCCTGCGTGGAGCTCAGATACCCAAGTGTGCTTGAATTTGCATATGCAACCGTCTTGTTTCCCCCAAATGGTATTGATTTTCCATAAAATCTATGCTGCAGTTCAATTTGTGATGCATGAAATAGAGTATGTTAATAAGTCAACAAGTCAATTGTTAACAGTTAAACAGTTCTAATAAGAGATCTCAACAGCTCAGATTGGAAAAAAAAAAATTTTGCAATTTTGCTTTTGGGGGATCAAGAAAAAACTTGCCTTTATCAAGAGATCTACACTTCTTATAAAACAAGAAAGCTTACCTCAATAAAAACCAAAAGGGCTTGAAAAGAAGGAGCATTATCGAACATAAAGCCTGTGTTCTGTGTGAACCATTCTATGTTGCCTTCATTTCCTGTGTAGACAAAGATTGGAGCATTCTTCTTGGCACCACCCCAATAAGTATCATTGATGAGATATCTTTGTTGAAAAGTTTGGTAGCTCTGGGGATTAAAACTGAAGTGATCGAGTGTTTGGGTGAAGAATTTTGTTCTGTAAAGCCCATTTTGGGTTGAACCTGAACGTTGTTTTAGGTCTGCTCGAATTGCTGAAGAAGGAAATCTGGGTATGGTGGGGGCAAAAGTATAGCCCAATGCAGGCACCGAAAATAGAGAAAATAGTATTATTGTGAAGTGAATGGGAGAACCAATTGCCATTATTTTTTTGTGATGAACTGTGCCTACAGATGAAATGTGTTTTTAAAGAGGAAAAAAATGAAAAGAGAATCTTAAAAATTCAGAGTCTCCCTCAGACTTAGGCCTCCTTGGTTGGGCCACTTACGAGTTACGACAGCCACAAACAGTGGACCGCGCCAATTATTACAATAAGTGTGTTTATCCACATTCTTTGATGTTTACATTTTACCCTTTTTTGTTTAATCAAATACTATAACAATTTTCAAATATCAAAATTATACATTACTGCTATTTTTTAATTATATTATTAATGTAAACTATCTATCAATTTTATAAGTTATTAATTATTTTTTTGTCAAAAACCTTAACTTGTCATCGTTAACAGCTTTTTTTAATTATATATTTTTTATATTGCAAAATTTGAATACGAGATTTTTTTAAAGATCTTAATTCTGCTCCACTCAAACTAATGATTATGATAGATTATATTAATTCTTCATATTGATGTTACCATTTTTGGCTTTTTATTTATGTTATTCATATTAATGTTTCTTCTTTTTTGTCTTTTTATTTATGTTATTCAATTTGATTTTTTATTTTTAAAATATTTACATTGGTCTTCTAATTATATATATATAATGCTATTTTTCATAATTACATTATTTCAATTATATAAAAGGGCAACATTAAATATTTATTTTAAATTAGATAATTAAATTGAATATTCTAAAACTAAAGGAGCCAAATTAAAAAATATATGAATTAATAAAGACAAAATTAGTAATTGAGTACTTAAAATAAAATAAATATGAAAATTTAAATAAAAATATTCACAAAAGAAAACAAAAATGTTATATAATAAAATATAATATTAAATAGGTGACAGAAAATTTAAATTTATCTATAAAAAAATACTAGACAACAAAAAATTTACTTAAATGAAAGTTTAATATATAAAACATTAAATTACTTAAATGTTCAATTTAATCATTTAAATTTTGAAAAATAAGTATTTAAACAAACCAATATTTCTCTTATATAGTATCAATTAATATATTTATTAAATTTAATAATTGTGATGCTAATATATACACATCATACATTTTTTTAATGAATATATTTATAGTAAAAAATTGTCATTAACTAAAATATAATTATTGGAAATTTATATATATATATATATAATATTTATCTCGTAATTTCTATTTTTAATTGTTATTTTAATAAATTTCTTTCAAATTTATTATAGATTTTATAATTTTTTTATCAAGTAAGTAAATGGCAACATAATAAAGTAAAAATACATTAGTATATATTTTAAGTAAAAATGTATTTAAAAATTCACAATCAACATTCTTCAACCACGTTATTAATTCTGAATTCTGACTACTCCTCGATCCTCAATTAATATCTCATAATAAGGTTTTGCAATAGCTATATTATAAATTAATAGCTATAATTGAGATGGCGACTAAAGTCTTTGTTTTTCTTTTAGCAATAAATTATATATATGGGGACACGTTCTGAACTACTTGGCCTTCAGGCCTTGCTAGCTAACCACCATCTTTATAAATACATGGCTAGAATAAAACAACAAGAAAGAATTAAAACAAATTAACAAGAACCAAAGAATTATGCTAAATGTAAACAAAGTTCATTCAACATACAAGAAAACAATGATTGATTCTTGTAAATTCATACAAGAAAACAATGATAATTGATTCTTGTAAATTCATACAAGAAAACAATAAGAAAGAATCAAAACAAACCAGAACCACACAAGGATTAGCTAAATTAATTCATTAGCGAATTCATAGGTTTTGAATTAAAGAGAACTAATGTTATGTCGTAATGAAAACAGAATAAAAATCATAACAAGAAAGCATCAAACTACTAAGGTCTAAAAATAGCATATGAAATGAATTTTACATCAATTAAATAAAATCTTTTATATTGATTCAGTAACCGATATAGATATCACTAATATAAAAAAGAAAAATAAGTAACTCAACGCTTACCCAATTTAAGCTTTGAGTCCTATCCGAAATATTACTAACAAGTTGTTCCAGATACTATTAAAAATCATCAGTTCACACTTTATACACCTGGACACATTTTATGTACGTCATCCAACATTTATTCAAACATAATAAATCAGTATGATTTGGTGTTAAAATTCACACATTAACGCATTTCTTTCATGCCATTTGTCTTCATAATTTTGTCAAATAAAACATAAATTTGTTTGTTCAAATTTGCGGTTAAGTAGAGGATAAACAAAGACAAGACGGAAACCAGAAAATGATGAATAATTGATATGTTAGGAGAGATAAATGGATATGAAAAATAAGCAAAATCAGTAAAATATTTATTCTTTGACGGGTCACTGCTTAAACCTAGCATGTGCAACTGTGCAAGGCGTGAGTTTCTCTCTTCATAATATTACCGACGTAGACATATATAGATTTCATACAAAACTAAAATTGACTTCTTTTCTAAATAAAAAAGCCATCTAGCTTTTGAGACTGGAACTATGTAAGGAATGGATAACCAAAAGCCAAATCCGATTAATATTCATTTCTCTTGCTGTATCCTATTGTTTGTCCAGATTTGACCTTTTTATAGCGATGGGTACGAAGCTAAGTGATCAAAAGTCATTCAATGAAAGAGACATTGATATTTATACACTTAAAATGATATATATATAGAGAGAGAGAATAAATATTGAAAATAACATACTTGTTAAAATAAATAATAAAACATATTATATTAAGCAAATCACTAGTTGTGAGTGAAATATGATTTCCAGCATCGTCTTCTGTAATCCTAAACAAATTTTCAACTCCTTCTTTTGAATGACATTGACCAAAGCCAAATTATTGGATCAGTAGGTCATGATAATATTGTGAAATCCAACTTGCTATGATCTATCTCTTGTTTCCTTACATCCTTTAACCACTCTGGATCTTCCTTAGTTGAGAACCTCAGGTCTACATGATGAGCTCCTGCTCACACAACAAGAAAGAAAGAAAGAAAGAAAAGTGGTATTATTAATATGGTTAAGAACTTCAAATTAACCTTCTTTTGCTACTATAGCAACTATAGTTTCTGATATATTCTTCAACACCCTGCAACCACAACATTATAGTTAGTTGGTGTTATAAAAAATAAGCATTGGAAATTATGTGTTTGTTAATATAGCTTTAGTTAACTCCGTGGTAATCCAACAAGGTCTTGGGTTTATGTGATAGTTAGAGAGCATGTCTTCCAAGTTCCAGCTTCCACTTGTAAGGGGAAACGTGCTTCCCCCATTGTTCCCACCCAGGGCCAGGGGCATACACAAATTAAAACCTCATCACCATTATCTTTGTTTCTCTGTCTCATCTTTTTATTTTTCTCTCCTATTCCTTCCACCCATACATCCAAATTTAGTTCTGATATAAACTTTGCAATTTGTAATTTATAACTCCATTACACGTTTTTTTTAATCTTTTAATAATGAAAAGTCTTCTTTCATTAAATAATTAAACTAATTTTTTATTCTGTTAATTGAAGAACTTGTGGATTGAATTAGTTGAAGACTATATAAGCACTTTTCTGACTGGATAAGCCGGCAAGTGGCAAGTGACTTAGGATACTGGAAGGTGCTGGATAATCTGTCATTGCCGTTCGTAATCAATATTTCAGAACATGTGCGCTTATATAATAATTACTTCAGGAAAACAAAAACAAATAAACTATCAAGTATAGGAGCCTTTAATCACATTATAACAACTCTCACTCTCGCTCTAAGGATCATAGGAAGAAAATCAGTGTATTGGATTGGTGAAGATTTTAGTCTTGAATGACAATGTATAGTGTGAAACTAAATCAGGAAATTGAATAAATGAAGCAGAGGATGCCAAGGCTCCAATGGCACTGCAAACACATCCATCCAATGGTGCTTCTCGATCTTGCTTTTCAACATATCAACATTTGTAATACTCTAATTTAATTATTTTAACTCACTCATTGGTTCTTTGATTAATCCTCGTGATTTTGATTAACTATAACATTGAGCTTCTTAAGATATTCTGAAAGTCAATTTTCCAAAATCTTCACTTTCCCCTCTCTTGTCATTCTCTGAATCGCTTTGTTAAAAATTCATATACACAATTTATTTATTAAATAATACTAATATATAATTATAAAATAAATTTAAAATTTAAAATTCATACATTACAAATTAATTAAAAATGTTATTATTATTATTTAAGAATTATAGTTTTTTCACTAAATTATACTTTTGGTTCGCATCTAATTCTTAATGTATAATTTTGACCCCAAATTTGAAATTTTCACAATTTTGATCTAACCATAATATGTATATTTGTAATGTATTGATACATAATCTTTAGGATGATAATTGTTATGTCAAATGTATGCAATAACATGACAATATAGAATATCACTTTTGCACGAGAATTTTTTGTTGTTAAATATTTAAAAACAAGTCAACATATACAAATTTGATAATTGGATTAAAATTATAAAAAAATATCAAATTGAGAAACCAAAATTTCGTAATTAAAAATAAGGGTATCAAAGTTGCTTATTAAAAATTAAAATGGAACTATAAGTGCAATTTAAACCATATTTTTACATATAAATTTGTTAAGTAACATGTTATTATTTTATAATTTTTTTAAAAAATTATATATTAAATATCATTACACAAAATCAAATAATTACTAATAATAAGTAGAGATGGTAATAAAGTCAAGTTCTCTAATCAAATGAATAAAAATGTAATAACCAAACGATTTTTATGTTTTGTTTTTTTTGAACTTACGAATATTTTATCTTAAATAAAATGTGCAACCTGTTAACTTTCACATGAAGGTGAGAAAGGTGAAAACCCCGGTGATTATTTCATGGACATTAAAATAAGAAAAGCCTTAAACAGACATTCCCTCTTCCTTTATTTTAAATTTTGATCCCATTTCCAAACATCATGAACTCACATTGCCAAATATATAAATCCGTCTAACATCTGATTGGGAGGGATACAGTGGGCTTCGTAAGTTGTCCAAACTGTTGGGTCCATGTG